ATGTGCCGTTGCTGCAGGCCGGCTAGTGCTGGAGATTTCACTGCAGACGCAACAGCAACGATTCATTCAGCACGGCTCTGCAGTGACCTGCCTGGCCCATTCGTTTCAACAGCGGTTAGGGGCATCCGGCCAGAAGCATACCACAAGCACAAAGTGGGCGGAAGTCTTGCTTTGGGATTCGGAAAGTTTCGACGTTTGTGCAACCTTCTCATTCCACAAGAATGATGTGGAGGCCATCGGTTTCATTCAAGACGGCGAGGTGCTCGTAACCATCGGATCGGACCGCGACCGGACGATGGCACTCTGGCCGGCTGCACGTGCGGGAGTGTTCCGCATGGGCCGCAAAGATGGGGCTCCGCTGGTGGTTTGTTCGGCCTTCAAGGGCGGCGCCGTTTCTGGTGTGACTGGTGCCCCCGGGAGCAGCGAGCTGCCGCTCCTATTTGCAACCTACGGCGCACAGCACATGAAGTTCTGGCAGTCAGCTCGCTCGGCACGTCTCAGTGCCGCAATTGACGGGCGCCGGGGAGCTTTCGGCTGCGATGGGGCACCAAAGATGGTTCTTTGCGCATGCTGGGTAGCACGGGACCGAGCCGTAGCTGGAGGCAGTGCTGGCGAAATCTTCTTCTTCCACGGCAGTCGGGCTGTCAGAAAGATGGCTTTCCAGCCATCTCCCATTGCTTGCATCGTGCCACTCAGGGAATCGCTTGCTGCAGTCCATGCAAACGGAATCTGCACGATCTTGAGCTCGGGCCAAACCGTGGAGCAAGATTTTTCCACGCTAGACTGCTGGCCTGAATCTCGGTTCCGGACACCACTCGTGTCGGGAGCAAGTTGGAAACATGACAAGCTTCTACTGTCATCAAGAACGCATTTGGTCTGCCTGGACCTTGTAAATGGTACCAAGGGGAACCGCTCTTGCCAGGTGCTTGCATCTCAGCCAAGCTCGCAATTAACAACAGTTGCTGCTCATCCAGCTGAGAACTGCATATACACTGGTGCTATGGACGGGGTTGTTCGCTGCTACGACGGCTCTGACCTGAAGTGCATCGAAGGTCGCAGCTTGAGAGCATCTGCTGGTGTTACATGTTTGGCAATTTCTGGCATCTCTGCTGGTGAAGACTCTTCTGCCTGGATGGCTGTCGGATGCAGTGATGCGACAATCTCCATCATGAGCGAGAAGACGAGACATTATGTCCTTCGAAGGACGCTTTCAGCTAAGAAAGCCAAACTGACCTGTGCAAGGTTCTCATCTGTGGATATGTCCGGGGCTCATCCGTTGTGGCTAGCAGTTGGGACAGAAGACGGTTGCATTCACACATTCCGGTTCAAAGAGGCTACGTGCAGAGCTTGCGCATATACGGGAGTTCACACCGGAGAGGAGATAGTCTCCAAAGTTGCCACTTTGCGTGGACATGAAGCACCAATATTCGACATCTGCTTTGCAGACACGCTGCCCTGCAATTATCTACTGAGTGCTGACCTCTCCGGGAAGCAGCTCGCGTTTGATGTTCCAATGGCCCGGCGATTACCGACTCTTGCCTTGGTGCGAGAGGTTCCCTTCTGTCCATGGACCGCACCAGTCGGCTGGCAGATTCAGGGTTGTTGGGCGAATCGCGAGCAGATGAAGGCCGCTTGCCTGCAGCAACTTCTGCCGGCGGGACATCAGCTGCATGACGCAGGTGAGTCTCAGAGAGCGCCGTTTCCACGAGATTGTCGGCAGGCTGTAGGAATGCTTCAAGTGGCATCAAGTCACATGACAGTGTTCGAGGCAATCTGTCGCCGTGACCGATGACTGTAGTCTTGAGATCTTCCCCTTCCCGTTGCCGCCCCAGATGAGCGCACTGTCTGCCAGATGAGTCAGTTAATCTGTTCGTTCTAAGGTGTGTGGAGCAGCCCACTGTGGTGCCGGAACGGTTCGAGGGACCAGGGGCGCGGCCGACGATTTGTCATGCAATCTGCTAATCCTCTAGACGGGGGCCCGCTTTTGAATGGATGTAGCTTGTTGGCTTCGGATGGACCACTGCCAAAGATTTTGCACACGCCCGGCTGCTTGTGACCTGCTGGTGGCGCAGGCGACCATCTCCTGCTTGCTCTTTGATGCAGCGAGTGACAGCTTGATTGCAGCATCGGACACGGCCGAAGCCTCATTGAAAGCCCTCTTGTCTGAAGCTGTGAAAGAAGGCAGTGGAACACGTTGATTGGCCTTCTTGCTTAGCAAGATGCGAGGCAGTGCTCCAGCAAGCTCCTCCTGAATGTTTGCCTAGATGCGAAAGCCTGCCCAACGGCCGTAACATACACTGTGTGAGGTGCTTTTCATCTGGCGGTTTTCCAAGGCACGTGGTCCGCCTTGTTTTGGTGCAACCCGGAAATGCTTGCCTTGTTTCGGGGTGCTGCAAGCATCCCCGACCGGAATGAACGACCCCGCGGCCCGTATAAAGCGGTTGTACCTGTAAAGCGTGGGGGGGGGGGGGTGGCGGCCCTCACTTTATAGAGGCGCCGCTTCCTGCAGATATCCCGTAATATTTTTGGGTCCGTGTCAAGAGGACCCTGGTTGGTCCAATCCCCAAGAGTGGTTTCACGTTCTCCCTCCTCACCGAAGTCCCAACGTGCGCTGCAAGCTGTGCGGCGGATCCCTTTGAATTCGTCCATCATGATCAGGGCTGCCCAGAAACATATCGGAAGGCAGTGAATGTTGATTACAAGCTATTTTCGCAATTTTTGGGGGGGCTCACGGCGAGCGTATGCTTTTTCAACTGATCAGTTGCTTCGGTAAACCACGCGGTCGATCAAATCAGTTGCAGTACGTTTAAACTGTTGCCGGGTCTCAAACCCCAAAACCCTAAATCCCTAAGCCCTAAGCACTTGATGCGCAGACCTTCGCCTAACTAAAGCCTTGTGAGACTTGTGAATGACGAAGTAAACTACCAAACTTGTAAATCCAAAGCACCAAAACCCCTAAACCCTCAAAGCCCCAAAACCCTGAAAACCCATAAGACCGTGCTTAGGGAACTAGAGTTGAAGGGTTTTTGGGTCAAGGGTTTTGGAGCTTGTGGCTTAAGGTTTTGTGGCTTAGGGCCTAGGGTCTAGGTTTCGGGTTTTAGGATCAACCCTAAACACTGCATGGATTGTTGTGTATTCATGTTTGGGGTGGATCCCCGAAAAGGTTTGCAAACATTGGTTCAACCGCACTTAAACCCTAAACTCTGAATCCTCACAGCTTGGATCGGCAATAGATGTGAAGACGACCTGCGAGGGTGGTGGCTAAACCCTAAGCCGGAAACCTGAACCCCTAAGCCACCGGCGGTGGCTTAAAACCCTAAACCTGAAAGTCTGGCCCATGGCAACTCCCCAACCACAACACTTCAGTGGACATGGCTCTGCAGAAAGCAACTGCAAAGCCTGAGATTAACACGCCAGGTAGCCCCTCCCCTCCGCGAAGGCGATCTAGTGCGTTTTTGTTGTTTTTCACCGGTCCGTTTCCCCAAGAACCGGGGCAAGCACACCAATCCCCAGTTGTGACGAAGGGCTGAGGGCTCCAAAAAGTTCCTCGGGGCCGCCCATTTCATAGAGCCGTATTTCTGCTGGAGATCCCCAAGGATTTTCCCCCGGACCAGGCCCGAGTTTCCATATAAAATGAGTGGTGGCAGCCTCCGGCCGGAATGTGAAAGGGGGGGTTTGCAAGAAACATCACCGCCGTCAGGCAAAGATTTGCAGGTGCAGTGAAGCGTCGCGATCCGACAGTGAACTGTCACGCATGTCTGCTAAGGCTTATACACGTTTTTGCAGTGCTGCGTTCGATCCTGTTGATGTGAAAATCGCATACCCGGACAGTACCTTGAGGCTCTGGATCGCAGACTGCTAGAACTCGCAGACAAGAATGAAAAAGCATTGGAAAATAAGTAGCAGAAGTAGCACACAGGCCAGTGTGTTTTTGCATGTCTGTGGTCGCGGGGGGAGGTAGGGCCCGGATAACGCTGTGGGCCATTCTGCAGTTTCACTTTTCGACAGTGGCAGGCCCCCCTAAATCCTATCGCGGGGCAACATGAAATGAGTACACTGTTCAAGTCAAAATATCGCCTCTGGCAGCGAACCATGCAAAGTGTTAACACTTGCTGTCCGCTTACCCGTACCCCTCGCTGGCCATGGCTATAATTGCTTTCATGATGCCAGGAGCAGATGATTCAAAGGATGCCGCTGCGACCTGCAAGCAGCCCAGGAGATATTTCACATAGTGTATTCGGACTGCGTACCACCACGTTGTCGCATACGTGCCTGTAAGGTTCCTGCGCCTCAGGGTGTTCCACAAACTCCAGACAGCCGCAAGTCGGCCTCGCCTGCCCGGACCTTTCTACATGAGGCTGCAGCGATGTGGTACTTCTGAGTTGAAAGGCCTTCACCCCACCGCCGCGGGTGCGCAGTGATGTCAAGGAGCCTGTAGCATATCATGGCAATGCCGCTATGAACCGCCACAAGACAGCACCAACCGCAGAGGTCGCCTGAGCAGATCAGCTCCGACTTCAATAGACAAGACATGCCAGAAGCTCTACTCCGACAGTCATCGCCCATGGAGTAGTTCGAAGAGGTTCAAGCTTGGTAAAGTGGCTGGTGTGTAATTTTAGAGCTGTCCGAGCCCAATCAGATTGGATGCTGGACAAATTCGGGGGCAAGAGCTCCGCTGCAGTGTTGCTGTTCCAGGCATACCTACAGTTCCGCAGTGATGTACTTCTAGTTACTCGTGGTTCAGGTTTCCTTCAACCAGGGGAGCTCTGCGTAGGGTGCAATCTGCGCGAGCATGCTGGGGTTACAAAAAAACTGCAAGATCTTCCGCCCTTACGGGCATGAACTGAAGCCTGCTGCAGACTCGGCATGGCCGCTAATCTTGAAAATCTCCGCAGCCCTGGCTTCCGGGACATCATGGGACATCAAGGTATCCGTTGGCGCAGGTTTTGCAATTCAGTCTCCATTCTGGCGAACGGTCGTAATTGAAGACTGGTCACGCGATGGCACTTGTGGCTGCAGGGCCGACAAGGGTGCTTCACACTGCCCCGTCCCCAGCCCACGCTGTGTAGGGTGCTTTGAGTGTTTTTTTTGATTCCGGTTGCATGCAAAGCCACAGGTGCTGCACGCACGGAACTATGGGGAGCGCTCGTCCAGCTTGCGATGGAAGTCGTCACTTCTGAGGCTTCAGACTGCTTGAAGCCATGTTGGCAATGTGTGAGCTTCGAGCCTTCCGAACCTGCTAGAGAAAATCAGAGGATCAGAGGCTGCTGGCACAGGCGTCTAAGTCTTTCACGACCTTGCATGCCGTCTGTCGCGTGGGGCAGCCCGTCGTCAAGTGGTGCGAGCAACTCTGCAGGCAGATGCCCTGGGCCGTCGTTTGCTTTTCTTCAAGAAGTGGCCGCCTCATCTTGACAAGCTTTACTAGGTGGACAGCTCGCGCACACGCACAACATTTTCATACAATTTCCCATTCCCATCATTCCCCACCCCTCAAAAATGTGCGCATGCTTGCCTGTCGAGAGCAAGAATCAGAACACTATTCCAAGCTTTGGTTGGGCTTATGTCGGTTGAGTGCCAGACCTAGGAATCTAGGGTGTCGACATTGGACCGCAAAACAAGCGGAGCTTCTACTGCTGGTCCAGAGAATGCGAGAGACATCGAATCGCCTTGTCCTTTGCTTCCACAGTCAAAGAGCCTGCGGCTCGAATCCAGCTCCTTTGCGCATCCGACTTTCCATCAGTTTGGGACGGCCACAGCCGTGAACGGGTTCTTGTGCGGAGGTGGAAGGGGGCAAAATGCCAACTTAGCAGGCAGTCTTCGGTAACTTCGATCTACCTATGTCTTCACGATTGGCCTGTCTTTCTTGCAACCCCAATGCAGGTGGAAAGCCATGTTTGCCAACTTGGAGATTGCATTATCCGCTGCCCGTCTTCACCTCCATTTCACGAAAGCGAATCTAGCAATATCAAGTCTCGTTGCCAAAGGTCATGTGGTTCGCACTACATAGCGTCTACTCTCGTAGCAATTGCAGGCGAGCCCTCGATGGTTGAAGGAGAGAGCAAAGTTTGTTGTCGCTGGCGCAGGCAGCGAAAGCAGACTGTGCCAGATTTGTATCCGATCTTTGAGGAGGCTTCGGCCTTGAGATGCTACACTCTGGAATCCAATGGCCGTCGCCGCAACTGCACATTGGAGTCGGTGCTACAGTTGCCACCTGAACAGCGTGCTGAAGCACTCGCTGAGCTTCGCGCGGCATCTCTGGATGTGGAGATGCAGGCCGAAGGAAAATGTTCAAACTGCATGCTGCAGTTGGATTTCTGCATTTGCACAGCTATGCAAACCATCAGGCAAGACATGCTGAAGCACCGCACACGTTCACGCCTGCATTTTGTGGTTTGGATTCACCACAAAGAACGCCGGCGAGCCTCAAACACCGGCAAGATTCTTCATTTGCTGCTTCCCGAGTCTACAGACATTTTGATACAAGGCGTTTCGAGGGATGAGGCTCGCTTGGCAGAGTTACTGGAGCATGATGCCTTCGTGGTCTACCCGTCGGAGGATGCTAAGCTCGTGACTGAGGCAGTGAGCCTCCCATCTCCAGTAGCTGCATCATGCTCATCGTTGCAGGCAGAGCCGCCACCAGTTGCTATCCTCATCGATGGCACTTGGAACCAAGCGCAGAGAATGCACAAACGTTTCCAGTCGTTGAAGCACGTGAAGCTTCTGCCAAGTGGCAAGTCCAATTTCCATTGGAGACGGCAGTCTCAGGAGGGGCGAATATCAACCATAGAGGCTGCTGCACTTCTGCTGGAAAATCTGGAGACCCCTGGGCAGCCGACAGATGGCCTGCCAGCGGCTTTGCACAAGGCGCTGAGTCTCCTCATGGACGCCTTAGGTCGCCAATGTCATCACGACACTCTCTTTGCACATGAGCTTCCTGAGCCTACTGGCAAAAAGAAGCATGCCCTCGGGGCGAAGAAGATCCAGAAAGAGCTCCCTGGTCAACGTGGATCAGACGCGCAGAAATTGTGAGATCAGAGTCAGAGTGGTGCTCGCAGGGTGTATCCTTTGGTAAGAAGTTGACTGCTTTTGTGCCCTTTGATGTTTGTTGGATCTGCTAGCTCAGCCTTCAGCCGTTTATCAGGGCTCGATTTTCCAGCCATGGTGCTGCGCACCGGCAAACGGGCCGAGAGGCCACGAGGAGAGTCCGGATCTTCGGTGTTTGTGTTCGAGCACTCGGTCTCGTTGGCTGCTTGCAGGATGTGTATTTCGTGGATTCGTTGCTTTTCTTGCGGTGCTTTCCACGCTCCTTGGCTGCAGTCAGGCTTCCATGAGGAGTGTTTTTCCGACAGCCTTGTACACGCGCACACAGCTACAGCCAAGGGTACTGGGAGCTACAACATTTCTGCAGGCGTTGGGGACAGGCCTGTCGCATCATACAACCTAGAGCCGCTTGTACAGGGAAGCTGCCGCAAGGTGTTGGCCGACGGCAGTTTGCTCTGGGCCTTGCGACGGCGCCCCTTTACTTGGGACGCTTGGCTGCAGAGTCTTGTAAGCTACAGAAAGTGATGTCTGAGTGCAGCGGCATTTGCAGCACGTATCAGGGAAGAAGTAGTTTGTCCGAGAGCTTTGCTGCAAGCACAAGAAGCCATGCTGTGATGGGGCGTTGTCCTAGCTTCCCTTTCCACGATCAGGACGCTGCGCTAGAACAGAAGCTGCTTAAGTGCCGGGGCGGTTTTGAGGTTCAGCCGGTTCTCCCAGCTCTGCGCGCATTTCAGGACATCCACAACCGGCCAGTGCAGAAGTTGCATGGGCTGGGGCATACGACGACACTTGTCAGAAAGAGCAGCAAAATGCCCAGCCGGTGGGGGTGACTGTCGTCTCTTGGTTGATGCTCAGGATCCTGAGTATCCCGGTTGCAAAAGGAGACTCTTGGATCTGGGCTCGGGCAACATCCAATTTAACCTCAAGGACCACCACAAAGCATTGAAAGCATGGCTTGTCGTTTGCGTTGTGGCAACGAGCTTCCATTCGGGGGTACAAGTCTGGTGCAGTTTCAATCCAATGGCAGGATCCTGAGAGGGGCAGAACGTGCAAGCAGAACAAGAACCTGGACAAGTTCCTGCTTCCAGGCGCCCGCTGCAGGACAACTGGGTTGCAGGCTGCCATTTCCTACCGCAACAGCCCTGACAAAAGGCAAAGTTGAGGGTGACCAAATCACCGTCGACTTCTCTCCGAGGGGTGGGCCCAGCAAGGTGGCCGGGTCCTGAGAGATGCTATGCGAATCTATGCGATGCAAAAGGAATGTGTAAGATCATTGACCTTCACATTCTGAGATAGAGCGCCAAGGCAGCCAAGAACAAGACAGTACAGTCGTATATGTGCAAGCATCACGAGCATCGTCCAAGGTCGGCAAGTGGGACGGAAGTGCCATCGTCTTTCAAGATGGCAAGAAATGGACAAAGATCGCAGGCGAGAAGCAGAAATCCCAGAAAGGCATAGTCAACACCCGACTCATGGCATGAGGACTGCAGCTTGTTGTTTGACTTGCGGCGAGATGTGGTTCATTATGGTTCATTCTTGCGAAGCTGTTTGTACTTCGATGCTTGCGAAACGCGCATGTGCTGCGCAGTCTCAGTCTAAGGAATTGGTGGTATACAGTTCACCGAGCCAGAAGATTAGTTTGTAGCCATCGGCGCATCGGGGGCAGAGCCAGCGCTGGCTTGACCTCTTGTCTGATCTCGTTCTGGAAAAACAAACATGGCAGTCTGCACTTGCCTGCTATGCGAGACAGCTCGCAATAAGGAGAGATAGGAGGGTTCCTCCGAACGTTCCGGTGGTCCTAGCCACCTTTGACTTTGACTGACCATAGCTGCACAAAGCTCTCTGGGTCGTGTTTAAGGAGTACAGCATTGCCGGTACACAAGAGCATCTTGTGCCTTGTGTCAGACGCAGTCTCCCACCGAGGCTTGGTGCGATGCTTTACAAGCAGAAGAGGCCCATCGTGATTGATGCTGAAGTGTGGTCAGGTTTTCCTGCCCACCTAGAGCTGCTAGGGCAGCAGATGATCGTCAAAGTGCTCTGACAATCTGACATGCAGAAACGATCCTTTGCCAACAGTCAGGGGAAGTTCCTGCGCCGAAGCGTGCTTCTAGACCTCCCCAGGCTGGGGGTACAACAAGAACATATCGACCTCCAAGTCGTTGGGCATTTGTCTTCAGGTCCACACGGATGCATTCCCCACGCCTATGGAGGTGTCAACTGTGTTACGAAGCTGTTCTTGACTCACCTCGGTTCTGCAGAGACGTTTAGGTCTCAATGCAAACTGTGGCAGTCGTGCGATCTCCGTACAAGGTTCGCGTGCAGTCAAGCTCACACATCCCACAAAAGTCTGCACGGAATGAGGAGCGCTTCGGATGTCCACGACAGCCGACCGTCACAGAAGGAGTGCGGGACCCGCAATGCCAGAGTCATCTGCGATACCTCTCAGATCGAAGCTTGAGGTTTTAGGCGGAGAAGCTGGTGCTGGCTTTCTTGAGCTTGTTCCCAGCGATCAAAATCCGGAGGAGAGCTTGTCCGCGGCTTTTGCAAGTATTGCATCTCTGAGAGACTAGAAGGAGAAACTTCGAATGGCCCTGCGCGAGCTTTCCGGCTTCGAGTTCATCTGGGTCCGCTCCAGAAGACACTGCAGTGAGATTCTCTACTGCACATGCTCGGCACCAGGTTATCAGCTATCTGCACATGAACGAAGGCGATGACGTTTTCTGCTTTCGCTCCGCAGTTTCTGTTGCCGTTGTCGACTTCCACTGATGCAAGGTTGGTCAGCAAGTGTCACACCGCCCAGAGGCCAATTCTCTAGGGTACCATGGCCTTGAGCGAGTTGAGTGACCGCTTGTCGGCGAGACAAGCATCGGACGACTCCAAACGACACGCGCTGTTGATGATTACAAGTAGCAAACCCAAAAGGCGACGAAAAAAGGCTCGCACAAAGCGATGAGCAGTGCTGCTCAAGCCAATGCCAAAAATGGCACAAGAGCAGGAGTAAGACAAGAAGAAGAAGAAGCAGAACAAAAACAAGAAAATAATATCAAGCATAATGATAATAGCAATGATAAGACGCAACATCGTTGGACCTGAGGGTGGCACCTCTCCTGGGATTTAGAGATACTCCGAGCCCCACATGCATACAGAACTGCCTGCACTGAGAGCTTCAGAATCTTGCTCAGGGCCACGTCGAAAACGCGGGCTTTTTGCGACACGAGCTCCACATCGACCGAGACATGGATTCAATTTCCAGCACTCCGTATGTTGATGGACCGGGTTGCATTTGCACTTTTTCTGGTCAGAGAGCTGACCTTATCGCTGTTCCGCTGGGGCGGCGCCCGCGTTGAGCCTGTCTCGCCTTATCGAACACTGCTGACTAGGGGTTCCGACACAGCCGACCAACATTCACCAATAGCAAACAAGGTAGCAGCAGCAACAAGACCGTCACCACCCCAACCAACACACCATCTCCAACACAGAGCTGGCAGCCTCGAAACGACATTCACACTGTCTCGCTGGTGTGGTGCAGCACTCTGGCTGTCTCGTTGCGATGGGTGCATCTTTGGAATTCTTTGGACCTTGCTCTGGGTTTGAGATTTCTGTTATTAGCAGTTTGATTTCTGTGCTGCGGGTGCCAGTGCTCGTGCTGGTGCGCTGGTGCTGGTCTTTGTCCTGGTGGTGGTGGTGGTGGTGGTGGCGGCGGCGGCGGCGGCGGTGGTGGTGCTGCTGCTGCCGCCGCTGCTGCTGCTGGTGGTGGTGATGCTGGTGATGCTGGTGCTGTTGCTGGTGCTGCTGGTGCTGCTGGTGCTGCTGTTGCCGCTGGTGCTGCTGTTGCTGCTGGTGCCGCTGGTGCTGCTGGTGCTGCTGGTGCTGCTGGTGCAGCTGGTGCTGCTGCTGGTGCTGGTACTGGTGCTGGTGCCATTTCTGCAGAGGTGCCGGTGGTGCTGCTGGTGGCATTGCTGGTGGTGGTGGTGGTGATTCTGCTGGTGCTGGTGACGATGTTGGTGCTGGCGCCGTCATCGCAAGTCAGCTGGTCAGCTCAGTTCTTCAGTCGCCGTAGGCAGATTCGGATGAAGTGAAAGCCTGCGCTAATCAGTTGTTGCCGATGGTGCTGGCGTCATCGTCGCATGCAATACGAATTCGTAGAGCTGGCCAAGGTAGAGTGACGCGCACCCCCGCACCAGCACCAGCACCAGCACC